CTATCGAGTAGTCATCAGCTTTGCTATGCCAGACATTCATAACATCTGGTGTTGCTCCAGCAGCAGGCCTGGCACCCAGCGGTGCTTCCAGGACGTAATTCTTCTGTGCAGCAATGAGGATAATCCTCAAGTTACGGACCCAGTCCGTGTAATTGCTACCATCATCTTTCAACTTTGCTTTCTCAAGGAAAGCATTAAAATTCAACGGAACAACAACACGGGCCATCTATCTACAATCAAACATAAACAAGCAAGATACTATCAGGTACTAAGTTCATGATAAATTTAGGTTCAATTAATCATATTACTAAAGAACTCCCACTTAGACAGACATCCCTCTAATCCTCTAAGTGATTACGTGATCCAAATCAAGTAAACCATGTCCGATCATCACGTGAGATGGAGCAGTTTCATTGGTGAACATCGCTATGTTGATCATATCTACTATATGATTCACGCTCGACCTTTCGGTCTCTGTGTTTCGAGGCCATATCTGTATATGCTTGGCTCGTCAAGTATAACCTGAGTATTGTGCCTGTGCAACTGTTTTGCACCCGTTGTATTTGAACGTAGAGCCTATCACACCCGATCATCACGTGGTGTCTCATCACGAAGAACTTTCGCAACGGCGCATACTCAGGGAGAACACTTCTTGATAATTAGTGAGAGATCATCTTAAAATGCTACTGTCAATCAAAGCAAGAGAAGATGCATAAAAGATAAACATCACATGCAATCAATATAAGTGATATGATATGGCCATCATCATCTTGTGCTTGTGATCTCCACTAAGGCCCATATGGCCCATTACTTATCTCGGGGGGGGGGGGTCCGGTAACCCTCCGGCTCACCGGTTTTCTCCGAAATCACCCGGAACACTTCCGGTGTCCAAATATAGCCATCCAATATATCAATCTTTATGTCTCGACCATTTCGAGACTCCTCGTCATGTCCGTGATCACATCAGGGACTCCAAACTAACTTTGGTACATCAAAACTCATAAACTCATAATATAACTGTCATCGAAACCTTAAGCGTGCGGACCCTACGGGTTCGAGAACAATGTAGACATGACCGAGACACGTCTCCGGTCAATAACCAATAGCGGAACCTGGATGCTCATATTGACTCCTACATATTCTACGAAGGTCTTTATCGGTCAGACCGCATAACAACATACGTTGTTCCCTTTGTCATCGGTATGTTACTTGCCTGAGATTCGATCATCGGTATCTCAATACCTAGTTCAATCTCGTTACCGGCAAGTCTCTTTACTCGTTTCATAATACATCATCTTGCAACTAACTCATTAGTTGTAATGCTTGCAAGGCTTATGTGATGTGCATTACCGAGAGGGCCCAGAGATACCTCTCCGACAATCGGAGTGATAAATCCTAATCTCAAAATACGCCAACCCAACATTCACCTTTGGAGACACCTGTAGAGCTCCTTTATAATCACCCAGTTACGTTGTGACGTTTGGTAGCACACAAAGTGTTCCTCCGGTAAACGGGAGTTGCATAATCTCATAGTCATAGGAACATGTATAAGTCATGAAGAAAGCAATAGCAACATACTATACGATCGGGTGCTAAGCTAATGGAATGGGTCATGTCAATCACATCATTCTCCTAATGATGTGATCCTATTAATCAAATGACAACACATGTCTATGGTTAGGAAACATAACCATCTTCGATTAATGAGCTAGTCAAGTAGAGGCATACTAGTGACGTTTGGTTTGTCTATGTATTCACACAAGTATTATGTTTCCGGATAATACAATTCTAGCATGAATAATAAACATTTATCATGATATAAGGAAATAAAATAATAACATTATTATTGCCTCTAGGGCATATTTCCTTCAGGCTTGATGTAGAACCTCCCCGGCAACGGCGCCAGAATTTCTTCCTGCTAAGAACCAAGGTATTTTCCTTGAAGAGGAAAGGGTGATGCCGCAAAGGGAGATAAGTATTTACCTCAGTTAAGAACCAAGGTATCAATCCAGTAGGAGAAACACACAAGTCTCTAATGATAGCACCTTCACAAACAAAATAATACTTGCACCCAACGCGACAAAGGGGTTGTCAATCCCTTCACGGTTATTTGCAAGGATGAGATCTAATAGTGATAGGTATAAAAGCTAAATAAAAGTGCAAAATAAGGTAAAGGTAAATAAATTGCAGCAAGGTATTTTTGGGTATTTTTGGTTTTATAGATCTGAAAATAATATGGTAAAAGTAGACCTGGGGGGCATAGTTTTCACTAGAGGCTTCTCCCTTGAAAGAAAGCATAGAGTGGGTGAACAAATTACTGTTGAGCAATCGATAGAAAAGCGAATAATCATGACGATATCTAAGGCAATGATCATGAATATAGGCATCACGTTCGTGACAAGTAGACTGGCTCCTGCATCTAATACTATTACTTCACACATCGACCGGTATTCAACATGCATCTAGGGTATTAAGTTAAGAAGAACGGAGTAACGCCTTAAGCAAGATGACATGATGTAGAGGAATGGATCCAATCAACATGGTAAAAAACCCATCTTTTTATCCTTAATGGCAACAATACAAATACGTGTCTCGCTACCCCTTCTGTCACTGGGCGAGGACACCCGCAAGATTGAACCAATCGCAAAGCACCTCTCCCATTGCACGAAAAATCAATCTAGTTGGCCAAACCAAATCAATAGGTCGGAGAGAAATACAAAGCTATCTTAATCATGCATAAAAGAGTTCAAAAAAGACTCAAATAATATTCATAGATAATCTTATCATAAACTCACAATTCATTGGATCTCAACAAACACACCGCAAAAGAAGATTACATCGAATAGATCCCCAAGAACATCAAGGAGAACATTGTATTGAAGATCAAAGAGAGAGAAGAAGCCATCAAGCTACTAGCTATGGACCCGTAGGTCTGTGGTAAACTACTCACACATGATCGGCAGTGCAGCAAGGTTGGTGTAGAGGTCCTCCGTGATCGAATCCCCCTCCGACAGAGTACCGAAAAAAGCCCCAAGATGGGATCTCACGAGGACAGAAACTTGCGGCAGCGAAAAAGTATTTTTTGGTCTGCCCTCTGGTCTTCGGGGAATATTTGGTTATTTATAGAGCGAAGATTAGGGTTAGAAGAGCCATGGGGGGCCCACAAGCTCATAGGGCGCCCCCTAGGGCGCGCCTGGTTAGCTTTGTGGCTCAATCGTGGGCCTTCTGGCCTCCTCCCAAAGCTTCGTGGGTGTCTTCTTGTCCAAGAAAAAACATCAAAATGTTTCGTTCTATTTGGACTCCGTGTGGTATTGATTTTTTTGTAAAAGATAAAACAAGGAAAAAACAACAACTGACACTAGGCACTAGGTTAATAGATTAATCTCGAAAATTGATATAAAATAGCATAATAATGCATATAAAACATCCAATATGGATAACATAATAGCATGGAACAATAAAAAATTATATATACGCTGGAGACACGTATCATCCATATCGGCTGCTCCATCCCGATTGAATAAGGCATTATGCCACCAGCTGTCATATATCCACGACCATAACCGAAAGGAATGTCTCCTCTCCCTCGACCATTACCAAAAGGAGGGGCGCTACCATGGCCATCCAGATCACCTCGTCCACAAGCAAAACATTGACTAGTACCACGACCTCTACCCAGCTAACATGAAATCACCGCACTCGAGTTTTGACACATCATGCTCGACGGTGTCGCATTCCTAGTACTAGTGGACTACCATACCACAATTCCCAAAGTGGGTTTTTTTTATATTGCACTTGATAGAATTCAGTCACATCATTATTTGTTACGGACACAAACTTGATGAGCTTCTTGGTCACGTCTAGCACCACTCTAACTCAAACAAACTTCCTAGCAAAATCCGTGCTAAGGTAGATTGGACCTCCAACACCTTACTCATCTTACGACAAATTCCTTTGATAGCCGCTGTGATCACAAAGTTATCCGGCAACCTAAGCACTCTTGCCCAGACTGTAATCTTATGTAATACCACATACCTCAGATTAGTGAACCCACCATATTCCACAATGAGTAAATCTTGATTATGAAATAACTAGGGTCGCATATTCATAGAAGTATTTCAATCTCCCAAGCACCCGAATTGAACCATGAAAATATTGTCTTCATTATTGCACCAATGGACCTCCTTGGCCAGATTCCATGCAAACCTCACATCAGACTACAAGGTTGTTGGGCTAAACCCCTTATTTGTACGAACATTCGCAATCGGCAACCACTTTACTTATAGTGGAGGATGACATTTGCGAACGATTTTTATTACAATTTTACTTATAGTGGGTGATAATGTTCAGACTAGCATGGGTTCCTTATAGAAGGCAATTTTTCGAAAAAGAAAAAATCATTGTTTGATCGCGATCAAACGGCTATGGGAGTGTTCGCTGGGAGTTCCTTCCCAACAAATGTTTGCCAGTTAGCATTACTGACGTCGCGGTGGACTGTTCTACGCGATCATTTCCCATCCCCGAAGTCTATCTAATTCTAAACAAGTAAACACCGTGGCCCGTGGTTTGGAGTTTGGACGTTTGGTACAGGTCAGTAATCTTGCCCTGCCTGCCTGGTTTTGCCAAATGAAGCGGCTCGCGTATAGCTTGACAGAATTGGCCTGCCGGACAACGCCCAACCGAACAACGACGCCAAGCGAAGCGAAGCGCCGGGCCGCCGGGATACCAAACAAATAGCCCTGCCGCACGAGGTGCACGACGTGGACCCCGCACGTCGGCGCGGGCGATTCCACCGACTGCCCCCACCGTTTCCCCGCCGCCCGCCCGGCAACCGCCCGCGCAGCGCAGCCGCCTTGGAAACGACGAGGCCAAGGGAGCCAAATCCCGGCACGGCAGGACTCCTCCACCTTTCCCCACCGAACAGCAACAACCACCCGGAATCCGGTGGAGGAATCGGCGGGGGAATCCTCTCAGATTCGGCGGGCGATCGTTATGCGCTGATGGCGCCCTGCCCTGGCGTCGCGGGCGTGCACGCGCGCTGGACGGCGCGGGCGCTGGCCGGCGCCTTCCTCGACCTCGCCATCGTCTACGCCTTCCTCTGCGCCGCGGCCGCCGCGTCCGCGGCCTCCGCCCTCCTCGCGCTCTTCCGCCTCCGCCTCCCCTGCACCTGCTCCCGCCCGCACCTCCCCTGCCTCTTCGCCTTCCTCTTCCGCTACCCCTCCCGCGTCCTCGAGTCCCTCCTCCTCTCCCTTCGCTCCCGCTTCCCCTTCGTCTTCAACTCCGACGACGACAGCCAGGACGAGGGGGAGGGCAAAGCCGAGTCCGTCGATGAGGAAGAGGAGGAGGTGAATCTGAAGCGGGAGGTGGACGAGGGGAATGACGTCTCGGCGCTGCAGCAGGAGCTGGACAAGGAACGCAGCGCCGCAGCATCCGCGGCCGAGGAGGCCATGGCGATGATCCTGCGTCTGCAGAAGGAGAAATCGTCCTTGGAGATGGAGGTGCGGCAGCAGCGCCGCACCTCTGATGAGCGCTGCGCCTTCTACGAGAATGAGGTGGAGGAGCTCAAGGACATCTTGCTCATGAGGGAGCGCGAGACCAGGTCTTTGCAGAAAGAGGTGGAGTCCTACCGGCGGATGCTTGGTCTCACCGGGGATGATGATGACGAGGAGGTGGAGATGATGACGCCGCACAGTTACTTTCTAGAGGGCGAGCCAAGCTCTTCCAGATCGCTTGATAAGAATGCGGGGGTTCAGCCTGGGAATAATTCTGTCTTCAGCTTCCAGAAGCACTTCGCGCGCCAACAAGTGTCGCCCATTCGTGTGGGTCGTGTTAAGGATGGGAATGAGGACAGTCTGCCTTTTCAGGCACTTGGAGAAGTTCCTGTGGCCGGATCGAAATTGGGGGCAGATAGATGCGAAGATGATGGCACGGAGACGGTGGTAATTCTCCCCCTATCTGCCCGGAGTTTGTGCTTGCCCCAATCTGCACGATGTCTGGATCAAGGTGGTGATGTTGAAGTTAATGCTGCAGCTGGTATGAAAGGTATGGAAGAGCTGACTGCTGATGAATTTCAGGAGGAGGACAGTGGGCGGCTAGACAAGACTTGCCATGATTTTATGGCAAGCGACAATGATGCAAATATATTTGATGTGCATGTTGTTGATGATATTTGCTTCTCCACTGAAGGTATGTGCAGACTGCAGATGGAGAAATAACACTCGGTTGATATTTGCTATACTATCTAGCATGTGACAGGATTAAGTTCTTTTCTATTGCGATAAACATAATGCTGCAAATCTGTTCGTACTTCTCCTGATTGCTGATAATTATTGTTGGATCTTTATTGATCTAGGTTCAATCAATTCATTTATTGGTTTGCCTAAATGCTGCTATGCTAGTTTATTAAAACCATGTTGGTTATTGGATATTTTGCTTTGAGTTCACATGCTACCTTGCATAATTTCGTTTTGTCAACTGGATATTATTTATCAGATTTACCAAACAAAAAGTGTTGCAACTTATTTCTCATATTGATATATACATGTGTACCTGCATCCTCTTGAATTTTGTTAACTACTTTCGAATATTTTTCCATGTGTGCTGGCATGACATGCTTAACCCCTATTGTATTTTGGCTGTACTTTAGTTATTTCACCAGCATGACATGTTGAATACCTAAGTCAACACATTTTAAGAAACTATTATAGTTGCAGAATCATTTGAAACTGGTACTGAAACTGAGATGTTCCTATGCAGTTAAAGGCCTGATTGGTCGAAGCTTCTCTGATGCAACAATGCAAGCAGACAAGTTGCAGAATCGAGCTGCCGCAGATGATCTCCTGGGGAAAAGTCTGAATGCGATCAAAGGTGCACAAAACAAGATGAGGCTTGCAGCAAGTGGAAGGAGGCAATCATTACAGTTGCAACTCTTAGAGGATATAGCTGACCAACTTCAAGAAATCAAAGATGTTGCAGATGCAGGGCGACACTTACACTGTATTTCTCCTAAAATTTCAAAGAAAAGCTAGGTATGAATGGAAGTTCCTCTAGTTGTTTTCTTTAAATACAGCATTTCTGATGGTGCCGCAGGATCACAACATACCTAGGCAATATATACAAACTATTATCGGATCCTAAGTTTTCCAATATATGACTAATTCCACTATGGAGCCTCATTAAGCCCACATATGCTGATGTATATCATCAGGCTCCGTACTTCATGCATGATAAGAAGGCATAAGTTTTTGGGACTTCTTTTTTCTCTAACCCTGTTTGTTTCTTTTGGGGAGATGGTAGTAAATTAAGACATTTCATTGTGTTTTTATTGATTGTAGCGCACTACAGATAATATTGTTTATATGCATTTTCGCATGTCCTGGTACTTATAGTATGATAGATAGGTATCAAGAATATGCCAGAGCTTGATTATGATACCGTGTTGCAATTGATACCAGGCTGTTGCAGTGTCATTTTGCAGAACTTACTTTAACTAGTTGGGTTCACGACCACACTTTGCACAATGGACTACAACTTTTAAACTAACTAGGATAACGAGTAAATATAACTTATATTTATTGTACACTAGTAATAAACCATGTTTCTATGGTCTACTTACTACTTAGGTTGATAGGCACATAGTTGCTGAATCTGTAAGAAGTGCTTGTTGCATGAGAGATTGCATTTCTGATTGGTCTATCTGGAGATCAGTGTTATGCACTCCTTGCAGGGCCTATGCCATAGTTCTTGAAACAAAACAATAAGTCGTGTATGTTTGTTTCATGACCTTAGCATTGTGTGTCACTGGTTGGCTATCCTCGCGTGGTGTTTGGTTTGGATTACATGGATGCCCAAGTTTGCCTTTCAGAAATTTGGTATCTTTGATTAGATTTGGCCTTTGGCATATTGCCAAACTTCCGTAAGGTTCCATTGTCATTCTTTAGTTCTTTTAGCAGAAATTTATGTCAATTCATGGGCATGTAATGACCAAATTGGTAAATGTCGTTCTCTTGGCAAAGTATCTTAGGGCTATTTTGGTCACTGTCCAAACAAATAAATTGCTGGTCCCTCTTTTGTGAGTTGTAAATCACCATTACAAAATTCTTGCAACAAACCCATGAATAGCAATATCTGATGAAAGTTGTAAAGTTTTGCATCTCTGCCCTTCAAAACTAATAGCCACAATTGAAATAACTATTAAACTGCAACTCTACTGCCCTAATTCCCTGGCAGATTGCTTTGTATACTTGTTTGTTGCGTTGCTAATTGTCCAAAATGCTAATGACCTGGAGATGCCATAAATCTTCTACGACACATCAATTAACCTTTTTCTTTACACATTCAGCCTGGAACAGTTATTACATTCTTAGTTATTCAGGAACACCTGATGCGAAAGAAAACTCGGCCACCATCAATAGCATTTCATTTCATTCAACCAAAACAACTAATGCTTGCCATCATTGGATGCAAATCGGCTGTTGAATTACTTACAAAACATTTATAGAAACATTGAGTTATATAACAGCCCTTTGGTCAAGTATGTTGGAGCAAATCATCCTTGCCACTAAGGAAATGCATGCCATTTAAATTTTAGAGCATACGTAGGCTTAATATTTTCTTGTGCTTGTAATAAATGTTTAATTTCATATGTACTTGCCTTTCTTAAAAAGTGTGGCGTGCATAGTAACATTTTTTTTTTACAGTTTTCTTCCACCTCAGCAATAATATTGCAAGGTATGAAATCATGTAGAATATGCAAGTATATACACTTGTGAACATTGAGAGAAATGATTTATCATGTTTTAGTTATATTAGTTGAACATCCAAAGCACGTGTGCATTTACTAGTAGGACAATAGTTTGGCTTTAGTCATAAATATATGTTGCACAATAAAGCGACTTCTTACACCTGTGTTGTGTAGAACCACTGGAAGCGGAACTGTTTCTTTTTCCTTTTCGGACATATCTACTTGAAGTTTTATTTTTGCCACTATATTCTTGCAGGACAGGCATATTTTGTCACGGCGGCACGGTTGATGTTGTAGATATTTGTTTTCGTTTGTAGTCTCTCCTCTCGGCATTACATCCTTAAGGTTTGTTTGTTCTTTCAAATTAATAGTACCTAATGATGCAAATGTACATAGAGGATTCTTAAGGTGTTCCCGGACTACTAGTGCAGATGGATGACACATACGAAATGGCTCCCGTCCCCCCTCGCTCCCCTCTCCCCTCCGGCGTCCCAGCCCCACCCACCGCCTCCACCCCTCCCCCGCCTTCTACGACGGCCACCTTCAATGACCCTCTCCGACGGCATGACTCCCCCACCGCCAAAGCCTTGCGGGCCGCGCTCGGCGTCGGCGACGCTATGGGTGACGACTTCCAGGCACAAGTTTGGCGGTGCCTTTCCAAGCATATCAACCCGCGTCGCCATGAACATCCCTGCTTCCTCTCCGTGCATGTCCACCATTCTTCGCTCGTCCTTGACGAAGAACTGGTGGCCGTCCTCATGCAAGCCTGCCTGGGCGGCAACGCCCCCGCTTTCCAGGTGACTCGCCTCCATGATCAACTCTTTCGCATCTCTGTATCCGATATGCGCATCGTTCAAGCTCTCATTGCCGAGCCCATCCTCGTTGCCACAAGCCACTCCATCCAGTTTCCCCCCTTTCCACCGCCACCCACCTTCACACACCGTCCACCCATCCACCAAACAAAGCCCCTTGACATCGGCGACCACTTCGGCCATGCCGACGCATTCCTGCGCTCTCAGCTCGGGTTCTTCCCCTCTCCCGGCGTCGACTTCGCGCGCAACATTCATGATCTCTGCTCGTCCAAAGTTTTTGCAGCGCCAATTGCCTCGGCCTTGCCCACCTCAATCATCTTCTTCGTCCATAAAGCGGATTTTATGGTCGATGAAACTCTCGTCGCCTCGCTTCTCTCCTTCCGCTTTGGTGGACCTGCGTGTTCTATCGAAGTTCAACGCCTCTCCAACGCTGCGTTCAATGTACCGGTCGCCTCCCACCACGTTGCCACGCTCATGGCGGCCTGCTCCCCGATTGTGGCGCCTCGCATGTTCGCCACCATCACCGTGGCGCCTCATGCCTCGCCGGCCATGCTGGCGGCGCGGCCATCCCCGCCGCTACATGATGCGCTGGCGCCTCCTCGCGTAGTCGTCGACGACTCAGCACGCTCCTCTCCGTGCATGGCCTCCATGCAGGTGGGCCATTCTCTCACCAACGGTCGGCTGCCTGCTGGACCTACTGCAACTCCCGCAACTAGCTCCACTCTGCGATCGCATGCAAAGGTACGACCGTTCCGGCCTGGCATTTCGTTCAATAAGCTGATTTTTTCTAAGTACCACTGCCTTGTCACTACTCCTACCACATGCCTAACACACCAACCAAATACTCCTATCTGGATTGTGTTCTCTTCTAAGTCAGTTTGCGCTAATGAAACTCTGATTAATAATGCTCTAGACCACCAGTTTTCGTTCCAACGGGTTTTCCATGCGATCACGCTTGCTCCGAACTTGCTTTTAGTGCATGTGTACTCGGTCAAGGTCAGATCTGAGGTCCTCCGTTGCGCGCCCATCCTTTTTTCAAATTTTGAACTTCAACTATTTGACTCGTTTGACCAAGCATCTCAAATAGTGCGATCGGTACCATTGCCTGTAGTGTTTGAACCGGACTCAATCGATCCATTCGCACCCATCCTGCCCACTCACCGCACATCCTTGCTTGGACCGCACCCGTCAACTAAAAAACTACCGCAAGATCTTCTCACCTACATACCAAGATACAACACACCGTTCCATGCGTGGATTCCACTGCTGCTGCCTCGGTTGACCGGAACGCAATCGATGGCCTGGGACACGTGTGCCGCTCATCTAGTTCGGCCTCCCCCGCCAAGTATCCCTGCATCCTTTCTCCAGAGAGAAAACAAGACGGTGTAGACGACCGCACCGTACACCCCCTCGACCAGCCTAGTTCGTTAAACAATCCAACCTTAGACCACCCGACCTCACGCCACCCATCACATGACACTCACGCATCCGGCCCACCTGCGTCGCCACAGCCGCCCCCCGGTCGGCCGCTCGGCCTGCTCGATCCCCCAGGTTCCAACGCGCACCCCATATCTTACCTAACAACCACTGATCCACGGGTCCCACAATCGCACCCCCGCTCGTCCTCACCGCGCGACAAAACCAACGCATGCATGCGCACGCATGCGACCATCATCACGTCTACTCCACCACCTGCCTCCCCTACCTCCGTCAGCCTACTCTCCGCCCAGTCCCCTCAGCTCCATCCCGAGATCGCCATTACCCAGTGCCACGCCCCTGCCACCGCTGCCAGTCCGCTAAGCTCTTCGATCTCCACGCTGCTGCAAGACCCGCGCAACTACCGGGAGGTTTTGCTCTGCTCCCTGCCTCGGGCCCCTGCATCCCCTCTCCCCCATCCATCGCCCTCTCCAGCCTATAAATCGCCTCCTTCCCAGATGGTTAGCCTCAAACACTTCCACCACCACTACAACCGCAAGAAGAAGACTAGGTGTTTTCGGTGCCTTGCTAGCGACCACACCATCGCAGACTGTCGCGACCCCGTCCGGTGCTCTCGCTGCTGGTGCTCCGGCCACCGGAGCTACAGGTGCAAGGCCATCCGCTTCCTCCCGTTCTTCCCTCCTATGCCCCCTTCACCGCGTATTAACCCTGCTTTTGTGCGACCGCCATGCAGCTCTATGGCACACACGACGGGCACCCACACCGCCTCCGGCTCGTCGGCCGGCTCCACGCGCTCCGATGGCGCACCAATCTGGTTCGGCTCCCACTGCGTCCTCACCAACGATCTGCCGCCATTCCGTCTCCCGCTCATCTTCGGACCGCGCACCTCCTCATCCTCCCCCCGACGCCGTCCTTCGCTCCACCCCCACCCCCTCCCCAGTCACCATTCCCACCGCAACATCATGC